GGGGGTCACACATCACCTTCACTCTCCCCCCTCCACTCCTGCACCCACCACCATTGCCTCCCTGCCCTGGCTAATCCCACGGGACCCAGGGCCAGCCTCAACGCCCAAACCTCTCTCCTATCAGATAAGCACAGTGCTCAAGTCGCCCCTATTGGAGATTTAGTAGCAATATCTCAGGGTCTAGGGCGATCAGTGATTACAACCATCCACCCTGAGTAGAAATTACCCCTCCTTCCCTGCCCCAGAGTCATCCAAGATGTCTGGATTCTGCTCACAGTCTCACTAAGCCTCCCCTCTTCCTCTTCCGGTGTGGAGTACCATAGAATTGTCAGAGCCAGGAGAGGTCCAGGATGAGTCAAGGGCTGCGACACCTATTGCTCTGGGGACCGGGCTTCCCCAGCCCCAGACACCCCCACCCGTTCAGGGGCGCCTACCGTTCAGGGGCCCACTGTAGCATCCTCATGCTCACCTCCTCCTCTTGGCTATCTTCTGAAAGGCCTGCACCACCACGCAGCTCGTGTAGGACTCGATGTACCTGCGGGCAGCATGGAGGAGCCCCTGCAAGCCCCACTCCAGCTCCAAACCCAAGCTCCTGCCCTTCTTCCCACCCACTGAGCAGATGAGGCCCTGAGGGCCAAGACGCAGGCCTGGCCTTGGGCACTGGTGACCTGAGTCCTGACCCAAAGAGACAGTTCCAACTACAAAGTCTCCCTTCCCCAGAGATCCCCAGGGCTTACGAGGGTCTGTAGTGCCTCAGCCTACTGCCAGGCTGGCCACTAAGCCCAGGTGAGGCCAACCCCTGGTAAGCCCTGACCCCAGGATGAGCCCCCCAAGCTGAGCGCCAACCCCAGGCTGAACCTGACCTTGGCCTAAGCCCTGACCCAGTTGAGCACCAACCCAGGTGAGCCCTAAGGCCAGGTGGAACCCTGATGCCCAGGCCGAGCCCCAGGCCTGCCCTGGCTGCCTTACTCCATGTGGACCTGCAGGACATGGTCAGCACCACGCAGCAGCAGCAGGGTCTCCAGGCCGATGGAGTCCGGGTGGCTCAGCCTCTCCTGCAGTGAGTGCAGGCTCTCCTCCGTCACCTCCCAGAGCTTCTGGGAGCTCCGGTGCAGCTGCTGCAAAAGCCGCAGGCACTCTCTGCCCCAGGGATCCGAGGGCTCCGGGGCTGGGGCAGGAGCACAGCCACACCATCAGGACGCAACATGGTCTCTCCATCCCCCAGGGAGCACGCAGAGGCCCAGGGTGGTCACACAAGGGCCAGCAGCACCCCACAGCCCTAGAGCTGCAGCCAGGGTCTTGCATCCCTGCAGTCCTCGGGACCGGGTTGGAAGCAGATGTGTCCCCCTTGAGCTTAGCGGGGGAGAGGCAGGTTGGTGCAGTTGGCAGTGCCCTTGTGGGGTAAAAAGGGGCAAGTGTCCACCTCCTCACTAAACAGGGGTAATGCTGATGATCTAGAGGGACTCAGCATATTAATCCCCCCTCCCATGTCTCTGGGTTTCTTTGCCCCTGGACTCCTAGGACCCAGGATGTGGAGTCCATAAGGGCATTCAGTCCTCTGCCATTTCACAAGTGTAAAAACAGACGCCCTGAGAGGAAGGAGCCTGCCCTTTCCAGCTTTACTTCCAAGCTGGAAGCAAAACTTAGGTATCCCGCCTTCCAGTCAGGCTTTTCTGGCACCACCAGCTGCCTTGGGTGAGAACAAGATGGGAACTCAGGCAGAGGGTCGTCTCTAGGCCTGTGACCCAGGAAAGGTGGAACTTGGTCTCCACGTGCAGTTGGGTCTAGGCTAGGCTGTGGCCTGGCCCTCAGGGTCCCTTTGAGAAGAGAGCAGCCAACAACTGGGGCTGTGGCCCAGTCCCATCAGAAGATACCAGTGCCAAGAGTCACCATCTCCAGTGGAAGTTGAGAAGGCTGTGACTTTCCAGGAGGCTAGCCAACCTGTCCAAGAGGCCTGGCAGGGTAGGACTTCTGTCCCTGGGACCATTTTTTATCCCCCACCCTCCCCACTGGAGAACCTGGACTCACTGGCCAAGAGCAGGGGCTGCAGGACAAGGCTGTCGATGCGGGCAAGAGTGGCTGAGAAGGTCTCTTCTAGCCGCAGAAGGGCTGCCTCCTCAGGATTGCACATGGCCGGGGTGCCGGACGCAGGGCCTCCTGAATGGGGCACAGGTGAGAGGTAGACAGCACTGGCCCTTAGGGGGGCAGGGTCAGTGCCCTCCTTTCCAGGACAGGTGCCCAGAAGCAAGGCCCATGACTGCCCCACGTCAGAACTGAGAAATGAGCCTAAGACATCTCAAAGGGGAGCCCCTGAACTAACCACTGATGCCCTGTCCTGCTCTCCACCGGGGCCCCACTGAGGGGCATCTGAAGGAGTGGGAGAGAGGGCTCAGAACTGCCAAGGGAAGGAGATGATCATCAAACCCAGTTCCGGCCTGCTCACTGCTCAACTCAAACACCTCCCATGGCTCCCCAGTGCCCAGGGTAATACGTAGTGGTGCTCTGACCTAACCCCTTCCCCATCAAATCTCTGCTCGGAGACGTTGCAATCTCTGGGGCTCTCCAGGCTTCAGGAAGCAGAGGGTGCCTGAAGGCTTCCCACTGGGAATGAAGGACAGGCAGAGGAGGGCAGAGGGAAGGGCACAGCATAAAGGTGCAGAATCATGAGAGCAAAGGCTCATGGGTGTAAGGGCCCAGCCTCTGCACTAGGCACACCATGCAGCACCCTAATTAGCTGGCCCCAGAGCTTGGCCATAGGGAGCCATGGAGGACTTCAGAGCAGAGGAGTGGCAGGATCCAAAGTTGGGCTCTGAGAGGTGCAGTCAGCAACAGATGCAGAGGAGATGGTACATAACAGTGAGAGGAAGAGGCCAGCTGGGGGTAGCCTATACCCTCCATGCCCCCTGTCGACCTGGTGGAGTCTGTTGATGGGTCCTACTCAAGAGGTGGGGGCCACTGGGGCTGGGCAGGTGAGCTTGGACCTTTGGATTTCCTGCCCTGGAGTGAGGGAAACTGTGCTTAGGCAACGATCACCTGGGAATGCAGCCTCCTAACTGGAGGGAGGGGCTGCCAGGGGCCTAGGCTCAAAGCTGCCCCCATAGCCAGGCAGTGGCCCCCCACACCTGACCTTGGTGCCCTCACTTGGCAAAGGAGATCATCTGCCCAGAGGACCTGACCAGAACTCTCAGGGTTGAGCTAGAGGGTCTTTTAGCCCAAGACCCTCAGACTGCCTCTCCCTGGCTCTGGCACTCAGGCTCGGGGGCTGGTGTGGGCAGGGGACATCATCAGGGCAGCCCATGACGGGCAGCTAATGATGAGCAGGTGACACAGGCAGACCCAAAAGGGCAAAGGAAAAGGAGTCTTACCTCCCTTTCCCTCTAGGGTCTCCTGACCCCATAAGGCATCCTAGGCCCCTGGCAGAACCTATGACATTCCAGGAATTGTCTCTGGGGCCAGGCAGAGTGAGGGGGGTGTCTCAGAGTTCCGGTCAAGGGCCCGGACCCAGGCATTCCTGCCCCACCTTTCCTGCTACTGCCTGGGAGGAGGGAGAGGCCGAGGGAGAGGCAGGAAGGGGAAACTGCTGGAAGCCCAGCTGCAGCCATCTTCTCTCTCTGCGGGCCCCTGAGGCAACCCCAGCCCCCAGGGAGGCTGGGGGCTCCAGGTCAGCCCAGGGACAGACCAGGAGAGTCCAGCGGGGTAAGGCAAGTGTGGCCCAGACCCAGCTGACCCTCACCTATGTCTCCAAAAGCTGCTGGAATGGAAAGGTCCCTTGAGGGTGACCTCTTCATTCTCAGCTGACAGTCAGCCAGAGGTCTGAGTTGAGAGGCAAGGACACCCAGGGCTGGCCGGAGGTGGGAGGGGGCGGGGGGGCAGGACAGCCAGGATGGGAGGGGCTAGGATCCAGATCAGGGAGAGGAGAAAAGAAACCACAGTAAATAACTGGCCGGGTGGGAGGCCTTGCACACCAGCATCCCCCACTGTCAAGTGGTGGCAGGCACCCCCCACCCCAGCCAACACAACACCCCAGGCAGGGTGCTGCTCCCTGGCCCTGGAGAGTCTCTCCACCTCAGGCTTCTCCTGCTTCTCCCCCGTGGGGCTGGCCCCTGCCCAGTTCTGTCCCCAGGGCCATGAATGGCAGCTCCCCCTGCCCTGGACCCACAGCCACACCTCAGCTGCTGCCCCAGGAGAGGCTTCCGACCCGCACCCGGCCATTCAGCCCTGGCCATGCCCCGGCTTATCCACAGTCTGTTCCTTTCTGGGCTGCAGCCACCTCCTCTATAAAAGGAGGTCCAGCTAGAGCAGAGCTTTGCAGACTATTTTAATCCTCCCTCAAAAGAACAAACTGGTCAAGGGGGAGCTGCTCCAGGTGTGGGGACCTGATCCTCAGCTTCCCCTGCCCTCAAAGCAGCCCTGGGGCCCCTTGAGGTGAGTCTTGCAGACCCAGGTTGGCAGCCACTACTCTGGGGCTCTTCCAGGTCTGTGACCCAAAGGGATCTCTAATCCTGGGAAACTGAGTCACACTGCCCCAAGGAAAGGCCAGAAGTTAAGCATGGCTGGTGGGGTGGGAGGAGGGGGCAGGGGAGGGAAGAGGCCACAGTTGAGGCTGGGCAGACTGATCTAGTGGTCCCAAAGGGCTCTGCTCCCAGGCTGGGGCATTTCGGGCTTCATCCTGGAGGCAATGGGTAGATTGTGAGGGCAGGGACAAGGCCAGGCACGAGTGTGCATGAATATATGTGTTGTGGGGCAGGAGCTAAATCTTAATATGAGAGGGAGCCAGCAGGAGTAGGCCCTTCCCAAGCTCCCAGTTCCACCTCTCAACCCAGCCCCCTCTGGTCAAGGCATGGCCTCTCATTCTCTCCCTCCCTCCAGTCGGCAAAGGTTCCTTAATGGCAACTGCACGTGATGTACACATGGGGGAAACTGAGGCCCAGGAAGGACAGGAGAGCCCAGAGACACTATCTGTAGAGCACATGCAGGGCTCAGACCCAGCCTCACCAGGCTCAAATCAGCTCGGTGGCTCAGAGAGGCTGTGTGTCTCACCGGAGGGCACACAGCAGTTCCTGGCAGGATCCAGACACCTACCTCGTCCCCAGGCACCTTGATGCTCACCATGGGGCAGGGTGAGTCTTGGCATGCCCAGGTGAGTCAGCTGCCTGTCCCTGTGGCAATCTAACCAGCAGCCAGATCTGCTCTCTCCCCTGCATTCCTGGCCTCTGTCCACACCTGGGTCCCTCCCAGGAAGGTCACTGAGGCCTCCCCCTGCCCTCTCCCAGGCCTGGCACCTCAGCCGCACCCTGGCATGGCACCCACTCTGGTATTTCCTGGTCTGGACAGGCAGAGAAGCTCTGTTTGCTGTGGAGGCTTTTTTCCTGGAGGCCCCTTGATCAACCAGCACGCCCAGTGTTGGACAGTGCAGGGAGGGGCTGAGCTGTCGCAGCTGCCCCTGCACAGTCCCCACCTAGGCCCCTCCCCTCAGCACCTCCGTGGTTCCCAGCATCTTGCCCTAGACGCACGCATTCCACCTCCAAATCTCTCCAGTAGCGTACGTGACAGACAGCTTTCCTTCCTCTCCCCGCCCGGGCACACGCAGGGTTTCCCAAACCCGCTATCCTCTTCCAGCCGCCAAGCATTTGCCCACGCTGCTCTCACTTCGGGCAACACCACCTACTGGCTTTCTCTGTTCCAGCCCTTCCGCCCTGCCCAGTCCCGCGTCACCTCCTCCTGGCAGGCTGGCAGGCTGGATGAGGCTCCGCTGCCCTCGCACCACGGCCAGGGCCAGGCATCCGGCACTGCGCTCGTGCCGTGCACGACCCCGGAGTGCTGGCCTGCGCCGCCACTAAGTCTGAGCCGCTGACGACAGGGCAGGGAGGACGACGCTGTAAAGTTCCCTGGGACGAAGGGGGGTCTTCCGACGAACTCGGACGGCCGGGTGTGAGTCCCGCAGGGTACTGAGGCGTCGTGGAGGGACAGCGACGCGGCGGCCCGAGAGCCCCGAACCCGAGCGCAGAGCAGAGGACCCCACCCACAGACGCTCTCCCTCCATTCCGCCCTTACCTGCGCTGTGCGGGTGCCCCGCGGGGCGGCCCAGAGCGGCTCCTCGCTCGCCTCCGCCCCACCCTCTCCCTGCGCCTCGGCGCCGGCCCCGCCCCCACCCGGCCGCCCCGCCTCGGGTGTGCTGTGGGCGCGGGGCCAAAGGGCCCGCCTCGCAGGAGGCGGGACGCGGCGCCTGTCAGCCCCGGCGCCCGAGGTCCTGCCTGAGGTCTCCCTCTGGCGTCCTCCGGCGTCCTCCGGCGTCCTCCGGCGTCCCAAGACTCCTAGGACCCAGCAGGTGGAGAGGGAGCTGGGGAAGGTTGGGGCTTGACCCCCTCCCGAGAACACACGCACCCAGGCTCGCCTCTGCCGCCTCGTTTCCCGCGCAAGCGTTCAGAGGAGAGAGGGCTTTTCTGGACAGCGGCCTCGTTTCCTCGTCCCAGCGGCCCCCCTCTCCTGGCGTCCCCCTGGCTCACTGACTGTGACTCTCTGCGGGTATGGGGTGCAGCCTCTTGACCTCCCCGAGCCGCACTGAGCCACAGGGGCCGGCTCAAGTGGAGCGCTGGGTGGGTCAGTGAAGCTTGTAGCTAGAGGGGTAGAACGGCCGCCACTCCCCACTGACCTTGGGGAGACTCCCCCCACCCCAGTCCTGAGTCTCATCATGGCCCAGTGGACCGTGAAGGCGGCAGTTTTCTGCACCAAGGCCTGCGACCTTGGAAAGGATGGCAGAAGCCTATTCCGGACCTCCCGGGAAGGGGAGGGACCATGGCTCAAGCCTGTAACAAAGAAGCCCGCTGGCTGCCGCCCGGTCCCCCTCTGATCAACAGTCCAGTCCCCCACCACTTCCCATGGCAGACAGGATCCAGGGACTGACCGGCGTCGCTGGGTCGCCTCTGCCCCTTCCACAGCTGATGAGGCAAAGAGGCCCAGGTCCAGAGGGGACAATGGAAGAGCAGAAAGGTCTCACCAGCGCCCTGCTCAAGTCCGAGGCCGCCCCCATTCTGCCAGCCTGAAGACAGATCCCCAGCAGAGGTAACAGGGGGCCTGGGGCTTGCCGACCTCAGCCCTCTTCCACGTCCCCCTGGGCTGCCCTCCACATTC